GTCTGTCTTTTCCACTAGATGGTGAGCTCCAAAAGGCAGGGTCTGGGCCGGCACAGAGGGAGCATTCAACAAATATTTACTGGGAGAGGAAAAGAAGCAAAAAAGGGAGGAAAATAAGGAAAGGGAAAGGGAAGGAGGGGAGGGGAGGGAAAGAGAAAGGAAAGAAGGGAGGAAGGAAGTGAAGAAAGGGAGAGAAGCAGGAAGGAAGGATTTAGCCGGATACTAGTCTGCCATGAGATAAAGCGGACCCTCCCATGCTTATGGTCTGGGTCCCAGGCGTATGGAAGACTCATTCTCCAAGCCCTTCCTCCTGTCCCCTTGCTTCTCCTGTGCCCTCTGCATGGGCTGTCTTTCTCTGTGTTCTGGACATGCTGTTTGCTCGTCCACATCCATTACCCATCCCTCTCCACCCTGCTCTGTGCCCCTGGGAGGCTGGCCTCTTTGGGGTGCATCTATGGGCTCCTTTGCCCTGTGACTTCTAGCAGAAGACGGTAAAGCAGAAGAGAATGACAACATAGCATTTACTCTCCTGGCTCCCTTCTGGCCTGGGCGCTCCAGTAGGTTGGCTACCCCTCTTTATGGAGAGTTACCGCGGCTGCCCAGGAGTCCTCTGCTCACAGTCACTCTCGTAGGTTCCCAACCACTCTCTCTTTTTGCCCTTCCAGGCCAAGGATGGAAATGGCTCCCCACTGTTACTGACTCTGGCCTTGAAGACTGTCCTAAACCCTGCCTACCCTGTTGTGAATAGCCTCTCCTTCAAATGAGCCCCTCCTTCAACTCTCCTTAATTGTTCTGTTTGAATGTATCACCTGCTTTCTGCCAAGACCTGGCCTATGCAGCCTGCCTCTCTACCTCCGGAAGTGTTGCCCATCCCCAGCATGCCTCCGCCAGCCAACCCACCTTGTTACCCTCGTCCAAGCAGATCTCTGCCCCCATAGAGCTCTTGTCCCACTGGGTGTCATGGATCAGAGCTTCTTATGGGTGAATAGGATTCCCCACCAAAGTGAAAGCCCCTTAATGGTGAGGGATGCCTCCCACTCATTGCAGCATCCCCAGTGAACAGCAGAGGGCCTGGCAGGGATACACAAACCCAAGAAATGTCTGTAACCAAATGTTACCATGTGGTTCCATTAACAGGAGGGGAGGAAGATATCAGCAAAAAGTTGGGCTGTGCTGGGCTCAATCCCAAGACCATCAAGGCTACTCTCTACAGCATTGCCATAATCCTCACTGTGCATGCCTCAGGGCGCTCACTCCCCTGCAGAGAAGTGCTCCCCTGGGAGCACCATTCTGAGGGGGGATGACATCATCTGTTACTCAGCTCTGAGCGGCCTCCTGTAATTACAGCCCCCCGGTCCTCGCCAGGGCTTAGAAGCCATATAGAGGAATTCTGTTCCCTTTCCCACAGGACAGGCCTCTGGAGACTTGAAGTGCATGTATCATGGCCCTATAGTCATGGCCCCAGGAGAATTTTCTCATCCGGGCCAAATGCGGTTAGTGGTTATGATATACAGCTCTTGCCACTCACTGTCCAGTCCCTCTCTTTGTGAAAGAAACATCTTTCACTGGCTGTTCTTATTCTGGCCCCTTAATATGGAAAACTAGCTGCCAGTGTAGCTCTAATAGTTTCACAGGGGTTCATGGAACCCCAAGGCCATTATCCACTTCTCTTCCAAACTCACTCACTCAAGCACTCCATAATGCCAAGCTCTCAGGGATAGTTGGGAAGAGTGAGGACAGAACGTGAGGGGGCAGGGACCTGTGGCTGTCCAGGATGTCATCGGGACAGGGCTGGACAGCTATGCCACAGCAGATGACCAGGGGTCAGAAATCCAGAGCAACCTTAACCCTAGTTTGACCACTAATGGACAGTGTGAGCTTTGGCCTCAGTTTCCCTCGATGGGGGATGACCAGTGATCTCTGAGGATGTTTCTAGGTCTGACATTTGACCTCGGATTAGGTGCTCTCCTGGAGTCTAAACGTGTTAAAAGAAACACTTCTCTGATGGAATTCACCGGTCTGCCCAGCTGCATTACAGGGGAATCTTATTTTACTCAAGGGAATCGCTACATAAATTGTCAGAACGATGACTTTTAATCAGAGCTACTCAAAGGAGGCAGTGCAAGAACCCGCTTACTAGTCTATGGGGCACTGCGTACAAGGAATGGAGAAACTTTTCAAGCTCTCTGACACTCTGAGGCTGACACTCCTGTGGTATTTCATTTTATACGGGTTCATTTTTTTCTGTGTATTTCAAAGGTATTGGTTTGCAATATACAGGGGGGAAAAAACCAAAATTGGTGCCTTACCATAGACTGAGAAGTATTCAATAGTTTTACTGTCTTTACCCATTAAGACAGAAAAAGAGAGAGGAGAGGGAGAGAGGAAGAGAGAAAGGATCTTGAGAATTAAGTTTAGTTCTTTATTAAAAATCCCCTAGATAATGTCAATCAAATTTTCACTGCTTCTACTAAAGGTGCCTCCCTCCCTCCCTTCTTTCTTTCTCCCTCCCTCCTTCCCTCCCTCCCTTTTCTTAAAGTCACAAAGCAAGTATTTCTCTGCAAACGTCCCCACGTTTCTCCCTGCACACAGAGGAGCTGACACAGCCCAGATGCCATCACCCCCAGCCCCGTCGGGAGATGACACATTGTCTGATGGGGCTCACCCAGGACTCCCGACTTTCCCAGCCATCAAACAAATGCTCTGGCATGAGTGGTCACAGAGCTGGCACATGGCTGCTCACAGACACTCTGGGCAGGCTGTCCCGTGACTTAGAAAAGAGGAGCCTGTTGGAGGCTGCCAACTCTGTCTGCTGCTGGTGAGGTATCTGGGACCTGGGGCCCCCCGTGGCCCCTCCACACCAGAACAGCGCACCCGCCACAAAGGCCGGCTGCCCTCGGTCCTAACCCAATCAACTCAACAGTTTTCTCCCAAGGCTTTAGTGAAGCTGCCCTGCCTGCCACCCCTGCCCTTCAACTCTGCCTCTTACTGCCTCTTAGACTTAAAAATACCTCCCTTCAGTGGGAGCTTTAGAGTCAATAGACTTGGATTCGAATCCAAGCTCTCCATTTTATTAGCTGACTGACCTTGGCTAAATCCCTATGGCATTCTGGATCCTGAGTTTCCTTCGGCACAATAGGGCTAAGGGTATCCACCCTCCTGGCACTTGGTAGGTGCTGAACAAGCATTTGTTGTATGAATGAACGAATGAATGAATGAATGAATGCACACATGAAAGAAGGAACAAATGAATGTACCAATAAATGGGTGAATGACTTCCAGCTATCCGTGGCCCTCCACCCTCCTCCATGCCCACTCTGCCTGGGCACGTGGGTAACCCCTGGGAGTCCAGCTCAGGAGAGCACACACTACCTTAATCTCAGAGACTTGCATTTGTGACTTAGCTGAATGACTCTCCTGACCCATGACCTTGGCCTAGTCCTTGTACCTGCTGGGCTCCTCTAGCTCTCTGTCAGTCAAATGCAAATACTAACCCCTGTCTTGCCTCCCTTACCAAATTCTGTCAAAGCCCAAATGAGAGCAGAGATGAAAATGCACTGTGACCTGGAAGGAACAGGCCACACAGCAAGGCTTCTTCCCACTCGGGCTGCTCATGTCTCTGAACCAAGGTGAGAGTCCAGGGCCTGCCTGGTGCCAGCAGGCTGAGCTGACGTGCTTTCTGGCTTGCTGCCAGGCACAACATTCTCCTGCCAGCATCGTCATTCCTTTGCACATAGGTATTTTGTCTGTGCATGGGAGGCCCTCGCTCTTTTGAGAGAGACATAAAGAGAAGAGTCAGCAGAAAACCTGCAGAGGTCGGCAAATGTGCTTGAGCTATCAGCAAGTCCAGGGTCCTGTGCGCTGGACAGAATGGAAAAGTTCAGCGCGAATCTGGGAGATCAGGAAAGTGGACGTTGACTGTCTCTCTGGCTTGGAACTAGGCCCATATTGAATATAGATCACCCACAGGTTCTCCTCTGGGCTTTTCTTTGGGGGTGCTGGTTAAGAGTTGATAGTGCAAGCAGAGGCTACACGAAGCCTTAGACAGAAGCTTCCCCTTTCTACCCTCTTCTCAGGAGGGGACGAAGTCCCTGTGCCTGGAGCACCCTCCTCTCTCCCCCAACCCAATCTTGGATGTCCAAACTGTATCTAAGCTTTTCTGGAGATATTTGAGCTGCAAGTCAGTTTTTCCTCTTTGATCTCCCTTGGCACTCCCTAAACACAGCACACGCCACCTTCCTGACACAAGTAATACCATATAATATGCTTACTGAGAACTCGTGGCCCGCCAGCCACTATAAGAGAGACCACGCTTTATACACCCCCTCTCCATCCCCAGAGCAGCTTCACAAAGCAGGTGCTTTATTACTTCCACTTTACAGAGGAAGACACGGCTTCTAACGGGTCACCAAGTGAGGAAACAGTATGGCTGAGACCTGAATCCAGGCTGTCTGACCCAGCTAATCCCAGCGTTACCAGCACAGTGCAACAAAATGAACATTCAACCGGGGTGCGTGGTCCCTGTTGCTCCGTCAGGCATGGTTGCCACTAGCCCACGAGGCTGCTGAGTACTTGAAATGTGGCTCATGTGACTCAGGCCAGATTTTGAGTTTATTTAATCTCAACTAATTTAAACAGTCCCATGTGGCTAGGGACTACGTCCTGGATAACACGCTGTACCCCACTCTACCACGTACGTTATGACAGTTATCCGTACGCGGGTCCCATCACCCAGTTTCCAATCTGAGCCCCTTGAGAAGACAGGGCTGTCTTCCCTCTTAGCCTGCGGCAGGGGCTCAGCGAATACTGTCCTGATGGCTATCCTCTCATACCGTCCCCATGAGAACTGTAAGGGCCTGGCCTCGGTCACCAAGCTGCCGTGCACACTGGAAAATCCGCAAAGTTCCAGAACCCCTAGGAGTCTCAGGCGCCTCGCCTATGCAATGTCGGGGGTACTGAGTCAGCTCACAGCTGGGCATCGCCTGCCCGGCAGGTCTTACCTGTGCGGAGAGTCGGGGTCGAAGCAAGTCTTGGTGACGTCCGTGATTTCGGGGTCACAGCACTCTCCGCCATCGAAGCTGAACCGATCATAATTGCAATCCATGTCACACACCCCATTGTGCTGCTTCTTCACGAAGGCAGGGTGACGCAGTTGGCGGCAGTCCCCGCCGTCGTGACCGGTCAGCGTGTGGTTGCACTCGGGGTCACAGCTCTCGTCCCCGATCTTGCTGATGTCGCAGTTGGCCAGGACAAGGCGGTGGCGCAGGGAGGAGTTGCTCACCTCCAGCACCTCCAGCTCCCAGGAGATGTTGTAGTGCTTGAAGGCCTCGGCCAGCTGCCGGTGCTGGAAGTCGATCTGCTGGCGGCTCACCGTGGGGTTCTCGCGGTTGTCGTCATGGAGGTTGACCACGCGGTAGCGCACCACCTTGGGCCGGCGGAACCGTGGGAGCTGGTTGTAGCTGGCGATGACCTCTGTGTTGTCACACAATGTCTGCCCGCACAAGGGAGGCTCCAAACTTGTGTCCAGCAGGAAGCTGTGGGCACTGCTGAGTTCCACTTGGGGGACGTGGCCATCCTTCATGGGGGACCAGGTGCGCTTCACATTGTCCCAGTTCTCCTGGAGGAGGAGCTGAGGTAGAGGAGTGTGGAGGCCATGGGTTTCCATGTCCAACAGGACCTCCCGTTGAGTCCGGGCCACCTTCCACAGACTGAAGCGTTCAATGTAGCCGCGGTAGTTGTGATTCAGAGCGCTGCCTCCCAGCATGAGCACTTTACACTTCTGGGTCAACGGGCTGAAGATGCCGCCCACCTGCTCCCCAGAGGTGGCCACCTGGGCACCATTCACGTAGAGCTTCATCAGCCGCCCATCGTAGGTAGCGGCTAGGTGTACCCACTGGCCTGGGAGGTAGCTGCGGTGGGCATTAATGGTGGTCACTTGCCGGGCCCGGTCTGTCTTCAGGGAGAAAAAGTAGCGGGGGTCTCTGTTGCCTTGGTCACTGACGGTGTGAATTCCCACGACCCATCCTCGGTCACGCGAGGTATAAGAACATTTGTCATATAGCCCTATGTGGCCCGAAGAGAGAAAGATGTGTCAATAAAGGATGGAAGAAGGGCACGAAGTTACTTCTCTCTGATAAAACTTATATCAGGATGTCCTAGACCAGCAGTTCTAGAACTGTGCTCTGCAGGATCTGCCCGTTCCTAATGATGACTCTGGGACCAGCCTTAGGGCAAGGTGAGGGCTAGAGGAACAGAGAGGACGGGCGAGCTGGCTTTGGGGGCCTCTCACCACTATGTGAGCCCAAGCAGTTTCACTTTTATTGGTTCTGAACACAGAACATACAAGAAAGGTTTGCATTTGTAGAATGGGTATTTGAGCTAAAGAAAATACCAACAATAATAATAATGGGAATCTGAACACCTTTGATTTTGTAAGACTGTTGGATGGGGAAGGGGACTTTCTAATTAAGAAGGTGTTTTAGGGGCACCTGGGTGGCTCAGTCAGTAAAGCGTCCGACTCATGATTTCAGATCAGGTCTTGATCTCATGGGTGATAACACTGAGCCCCATGTCAGGCTTCACGCTCAGCAGGGAGTCTGCTTGGGACTCTGTCTCTGCCCTTCCCCCAACTCATGAATGTGCTCTCTCTAATAAATAAATAAATCTCAAAAAAAAAAAATTAAAAACAACCAAGAGGGTATTTTAAGTGTGGGATGACATAGCAGGCAAGAGGAGAATGGGGGGGGGGTGGTAATAATGAATAGAAGATGCTCACTGAGAAGGAGGTCCCCTGCTACAGTCACCAAAACTTTGAGCACACATCACCATTGGCAGTCATCACATGGCCAGTGATAGTGAATTGTCAGCAAAGTTGGCCCAGAGAAGTGAAGGTCAAGGGCCGCAAAGCTAATGCTTCCACCTTCTAAGAGGAGTCAGTCCTGGCTAGCCCTGAAATTCAGCCCCAAAGAAAGGCAGACATGCTTAATATCTGAGCTGGAAAGGTTTTTAAAGATCACCACTTCCAACTTTTTCACTTGACAGGTGAGGGATTTCAGACCCAGAAAATGAAAGGCATCTGTCAGGTTACATAGAGTCATTGACAAATGTCCTGAGACCCAATTCAGCTTGCTTTTCTCTGACACTACTGCGAATATTTGCAAAAGAATGAAATGAAAAGCATCCTCTTAACATAAAAGGTGCTGGGGACTCCTTCATTACTTAAATCCTCCAAGCCTCTGTATTATACTAAGGTCTATGTGTGAGTTCATTTAATCCATGTAACACCCTTAAGGTGGTGATGTTAGGTGAACAGAGGCAGATATGGATTCTAAAGGAAGCAAGAGATGGATGGGTTAAAGGTCAAATGGTTGGTCAGTGGCTCCTCGATCCATCAGACCCTGGCATTCAGTACCCTGTGCACTAACTCTGCGGGGGCTTCCTTCTTCCCCATCAAAGCCACCAAGGATCCAGAACACACCACCTGCCTGGGGGTGCCACAAACTCGGTGTTTGGGAAGGTCGCAAGGCTGATGTCTGTAGACTTACTCTGGAAACCCCAAGAAGTCACTTAGCAGATTCTCTCTGGATCAAATTATCTTTATAATCACCAACCCCCATTCCTCAGCTTTTCTGGAATATACCCAGTGTCCTTGGCACAGACAGGCTGTTGGATGGGGAAGAGGACTTTCTAATTAAGAGTATATTTTAAGCGTGGGATGATGTACGAGGCCAGGTGGGAGGAGAAAGAGAGGGAGATGAGAATGAATACAAGATGCTCATTTAGGAGGACAGTCCTTACTCTGAGCTGGAGACCTGTTGTGGTCACCATAACTTTGAGCATGCATCGGCCATTAGCATTCACCAAACAAGCATGGAGAGCTTCCAGAAAAATCAACAGAGGAGGCCCACGGGGTCTCTACTCCTTGTTGGTACTGGGGCCTTGAACTTGTGTAAATCTCTCTGTTAGCAGCTGATGCGGAGGGCAGTTTTGGCTTGGCATCTAAGTCGGCCTATACCTCTCCTCCAACTCCGTGCCCAACAGTCCCTCAGGCAATGGCTGGAGTCTTCTCACAAATTCAACCTGCTCTCACAGGCTGGGCAACCTTGGTGAAGCACTGAGTACCTCCTCTGGGTCTTGGTTCTCTATCTGGTGAAGGAGGGGACCGAATGAGGTCCCCCTTACATGCCTGGTCCAAGTCTGCTTTTCTGTGTTTCCAGGTTTACCCATGGCTAAAACAAAAACCACCTCTTCCAAGAAACTCTCCGTGATAGCCCTGTGAGGAATGCTCATCTCTCCTCTGCACTCATTTTACTTTAAGGCAACTAGACACTTGTTCTCTGGTTTTGAAGTCCTACTAGACTGGAGGCTTCTTGAAAGTGAGGACTCTGGCTGGGCCATCTGTACCCTGCCTAGGACCTTATACCATTCCTTGTCTACAGCAGGGGCTCAGCAAGTGTCTCATGAAGGAGCACAGGAAGGATGCCAAATACAGCCAGAGAAGGAAAAAGGACAAACAGAATCAACTTAACTCAGGTCTTCATGGCTAAAGGACAGGGAGAGTCAGAAGAGAGCGTGTGTTCTCTGTACCACAGAGCAAGCAGGATCTTTGGACTTGGGGTAATTCTGATAAAAGAATTACTAGCCATACATCTGGGGAAAATCACTTCACCTCTGCAGCTCTTCTCCCTCTTGACTAGATCTCTCTTTAAATGTGCTGTCATACTTAAAAGATACAGCGGATATGCCATCCTTGGCATACAGTAGCCGTCCAAGTGGGAGCTCATTTTTAAGATGCTGGAAAGTCTGGGAGTGATGTCAATGATGACAAGGAGGAAATGACGAGAAACACAATACAGAAAGGCCAAAGGGAGAAGGCACCTGAAGGCATCTTGACTGATGGAGCAAGAGCTGGGAGGATGAAGGCTCAAAAAAAGCACGAGTCCTCCCCAAAACCACCGGCAAAGCCTACTTAGAAATCACAAATCCCGTCTGCTTAGCTGCTGTCAGGACACTGCCTGTGAAAAGCTACCTCCCCATGGACCCTTCCAAAGCGGAAGCTCTGACTCCAGATTTGGAACAGGCTACCCCAGCTCTATGCGTTGCCACTTGCTATGGGGATCAGTGAGAGCAAAGTTCCTAGGGCCACCACGCTTGGGCTCCCCATCCCACCTCTGAGCTCACCTTCTCTTGCTCCCCTGGCGAACGGTCCCCCTCAAAGAGAAAATTCTTCTAATGAGAAAATTAATATCTGAAACAGGATCCCTTTTCCCTCTTTCGTTCTCTCTCTTTCTCACTCTCTCCCTGCAGGTTTTTTATTTTGCCAGGGGCTCTCCCGTCCCTGGTTTTCCTGTTGCCTTTGGAAGGCAGCTAGCTGGGTGAGCAAGGTAAAATGTTTACACATCTGTAGGGTGCCCTCAGTTCAGAACCTTCCTGGGGCTTGGGACCCGGGCTCAAGCCCCCTGTTTGCAGTTGAGAGAGAAGAGAGATGCAGTGAGAAAGGCCAGACTCTGCCACACAGAGCCGAGGACTAAGAGGTAGCTTAGCCCCGGGAGGCAGAGAGGAAGGGCAAAGAGAGGCTTTTCAGTGGAACCAAGAGGAAACACGTTAAGGGAAACGAGAACCTTGAAGCAGTGGCTTCAGAAGTTCAGAAGGAAATATTCATCTGGAGTGTAAGTGGCGAAAGGAAATCACTGAACTTCAGCAGGGGTGGGACGGGGGTCAATGATGGTGACGGGGACTTATTTCTGTATGAAAATAACCTAATCAACAGTAGTCACACCCAGGGGGCTGTACCACCAGCCCAGAACCAGGGATCTGGAACCAGAGATCTGGATGACCTTGCCTGGGACAAGCACAGCACCCCTCCTTGCTGCCAGGCCTCCTTTCCCTTCTCTGAAAAAGGAGACGTTAGGATTAAATGATGCCCCCCCTACAATTTAAGAGCTCTTTTGTTCACTGCTAGAATGGTTCCTTGTAAGCAGAAGGAGCTCAACATAGGTGTTGATTTGAATGTTGGAAGCCTTGTGTCATTCCTAATGCTTGCATGCTTAGGTCCCCTCTGCTCTGTGTATCTCCATAGAGGACACACAACTGTGTACTCTGGAGGGCACCGTCCCCCCTCCCCACCCTCACCTTGTCCCTCCCCACAGTTGTCCAGGAAGATAGAGCTATAGTGAAGGAAAGAGAGAGAGGCGGTCTGCAGTCTGCACCATCTGTGTGGTGCTGGAAGTTGATCCCAGGGGACACATCCCCATGTGACAAGATGAAGGCTACGGGGCCATCCCGCACACAATCTACATCTAATTAGCATAAGCCTGCCTCAAGGCTATGAGCGCATGGAAGCAGACTCCAAAAGTGTGCAGAGCCCGTGAGGTGTGTTGGGCATGCACAGATGGACAGGTCCGGCCCCAGACCTGGAAGGGGCTTGCCCTGGGCCTCATGGTAATCACCGGTCCCACAAACCCTGGTCAGCTGGCCCTTCTAATGTGCCCTCATCCTCCTGCAGCTAGGCTTGCTTTGAAAAGGGCTTCAGATCCCCCCAGAAGCTTGCTGCCTACTTATTTTTACGGTCTCTTTTTCTTCCCATCTATCCACTAAATCTCATCCCGGAGATGAAGAGCATATGTAAAAGGGGCTAGCCCAAAGGCAGAAGGCTCCTATGGAGTCTCCCAAAACCTTGGCGAGGGCTGCACCAGGAGTCCTCTGGGTTCTGGGGTCACCCTTTCGGGATCAGTTTAATGGCACTATCCCAGGGTAGCTCCGTCCAACCACTCCATTCCACTCCGGGAACAGACAAATCTTCCATACATCCATCACAACCCTTCCTGTCTGAGAACTCACCACTTCTGTAATTACTCATCCAATGTCTGTGGTTCCCATCTGTGTGTCTGCTTGGTTCATTTCAAAGTGCCCAGTGTCCACTACAGACCCTGGTACCTTGCAGGTGCTTCGGAGAGTTTGTCATTGCAAATTAAAAATCAAGGAAGGAAAAGAAGGAGGGACATTTCCCTAGTGCTGTGTTCTTTTTTTTTTTTTTTTTTAAGATTTTATTTATTTATTTGAGAGAGAGAGAATGAGAGAGAGCAAGCACATGAGAGGGGGGGAGGGTCAGAGGGAGA